CCACCACCAAGCCCAGCTAATTTTTTGTATTTTCTTTTTTTCTTTTAGACGGAGTCTCACTCTGTCGCCCAGGCTGGAGTGCAGCGGCGCAATCTTGGCTCACTGCAACCTCCGCCACCCAAGTTCAAGTGATTCTTCTGCCTCAGCCTCTCGAGTAGCTGGGACTACAGGCACCCACCACCACACCCAGCTAATTTTTGTATTTTTAGTTGAGATGGGGTTTCACCATATTGGCCAGGCTGGTCTCAAACTCCTGACCTTGTGATCCGCCTGCCTCAGCCTCCCAAAGTGCTGGTATTACAGGCGTGAGCCACTGCACCCAAACAATTTTTTTGTATTTTGTAGTAGATATGGGGTTTCACCATATTAGCCAAGATGGTCTCGAACTCCTGACCTCATGATCTGCCCGCCTCGGCCTCCCAAAGTGCTGGGATTATAAGCATGAGCCACTGCGCCGGGCCAATAAAGTAAAGCTTATAACAAATCTTTAGTGTCTTTTAGGCAACCATCTTCACTTGTGCTTTGACAATATGGTTCAGTTTGTGAAAATTCAGATCTCAAATATTTTGGGAAAACATCAATCATACAGAGCAAAGTGTAAGTAAATATCTTGTAGATTAAAAAATGGAATTCTGGCCAGCAGGAGGCAATTAATAAAGTATTCAATTAGGTGTGTCTGTATCTTTCTAGTGTTTAAAATAAGAAGTCTTGGTGGGGCATGGTGGCTCACGCTTGTAATCCCAGCATTGTGGGAGGTAGAGGCAGGTGGATCGCTTGAGTTCAGGAGTTTACGATCAGCCTGGGCAACATGGTGAAACTGTCTCTACAAAAAAATTAAAAAAAAAAATTAGCTAGGCATGGTGGCACGAGCCCGTGGTCCCAGGTACTTGGGGGGCTGAGGTAGGAGGATCGCTTGAACCCAGGTGGTGGTGGTTGCAGTGAGCTGAGATCGTGCCACTGTACTCCAGCCTGGGCGACAGAGCGAAATCCTGTCTCAAAAAAAAAAAAAAAAAAAAAAGTCTTGATTATAGGGCTTTTCACATTCCAGATCTTTTGTTGAAATATTTTGTCCATTTTCTCATCTCCCAAACAATCGTTTTGTGAAGATGGGATTACAGATGAGACAACTGAGGCTCCAAGAAGTTGAGTAATAGACTCATAGCTATTAAGATGGTGACACTGGTACTCAAATGTGGATTTTCTCTCAAATCTATGCTTTTTCTTTTAGTTCTGATGAGGTACTTTACTGTGTATAACACACACACACACACACACACACTCTTCAAATCTTCCTTTTGAAGCTGAAAACAATAGTATATCTATTAGGTAGAACCACATGAAATTGCCACTATTCAAATGCTGACGGCCCATAGAAAGGGCAATTTTTTCTTTTTTTTTTTTTCTTTTTTTTTTTTTTTTTTTTGAGACAGGGTCTCCCTCTGTTGCACAGGCTGGAGTGCAATGGTGTGATCTCGGCTCACTGCAACCTCTGCCTCCTGGGTTCAAGTGATTCTACTGCCTCAGCCTCCTGAGTAGCAGGGATTACAGGCGTGCACCACCATGCCCAGCTAATTTTGGTGTTTTTAGTAGAGACGGGGTTTCACCATGTTGGTCAGGCTGGTCTCGAACTCCTGACCTTGTGATCCATCCACCTTGGCCTCCCAAAGTGCTGGGATTACAGGCTTGTGCCACCGCACCCGGCCAGAAGGGGCAATTTCATACGGGTCGACCCAACGCATCTCTGAACTGCTTGGCACTGAACTAGTTAGAGTAAAGGTAGCCTCTTGACCAAGAGAAATCAACCTTGTTAATGAGACAATGAGTTTTCTTTCATCGTCAATAAACACCACATAACTTTCTTTCTTTCTTTCGAGACGGGGTTTCACTCTGTTGCCCTGGCTGGAATGCAGAGACGCAATCTCAGCTCACGGCCTTCTGCCTCTCTGGCTCAGGTGATCTCAGCCAGCCTCCAGAGTAGCTGGAACCACAGGTGCATGACACCACACCAGGATGATTTTTTGTAGTTTTGGTAGAGATGGGTAGAGATGTTGCCCAGGTTGGTCTTGAACTCCTGGGCTCAAGCAATCTGCCTGTGTTGACCTCCCAAAGTGCTGGGATTACAGGTGTGAGCCAGCGCGCCCAGCCCATACAACTTCCTAGAGAAGGGCTCCCCATGTGTCATGCTTTGGGGACTGCACAGCTCCCAGTTGGCTAGGGAAAACCATTTGCTTCTGGAAGGCATTGGGCTCAGATGGGGCTGCCGGTCTCCACAGCCGCAGGCCATGGGCCACTTGCCAGACAGAAGCGTCAACTGGAACAAAACTGCTCTCACACCTCTCTCGACCCCCATGCCCTACTCCATGGTCCATGAGTGGTCTGACTTCACCATGGGAACTTCTGGGCCATCAGGGCTGTTTCCCATGAGGTGGGGAAAAGGGTGGGAACAGGGCATCGTTATGAACTCCAGCCTGTGTCTTCCTCCCTGTGTTCTCTTTCAGTTGAGCTTGTTCATCACCCCTACACACATACAAGTCTTGGGCGGAATGGGAGGGAGGAGGTTAGCATTTCCTTCCCCTACTGAAAGGAATTGGGGCAGGGGGAGGGGGGAGTGGAGGAGGCAGAATTCAGAGGAAAAGCTGTGTCTGGGGAAAGATGTGGCACTGATACAGAATGACCCATTTAAAAGGGCCATGGGAGGCAGCCCATACGCTCGGGTTTTCAACAAACTGAGCTGTGTGCATGTGCAAACACACCTGCACACACACACTGAGAGGCTCACGGTTCCACGTTTCCCAACACCCGCAGCCTCTCTCTGAGCACTCACCTGAAGGTGCCAAAATTCAGGCCAGTAGCAAGTGTAGGCAGGTACTCAGTGTCTCTCTCTCCCCCTCTCTTCCTTTCTTTTCCCCTCCCTCTTGTGCTCTCTCTTCTCTTGCTCAATGTACAATGGGCATTTTGATGAGAACAAAAGGGACAGGGTTGGGAGCAGGGTGGGTGACAGTGAGATTGATAAGGAAGAAAAACATGGGATAATTCAGGAACTCCAAGCCCTGTGCACTGCGATCACTGAGCATTCAAACATCTGCCACGTGGGCGAAGACACTGATGGAGGAGTGGGTGAGAACAGGAGGACCCCAAAGAAAAGCTATGCCTTTTCTGGACATTGTTCCTTCCTTCCTTCATTCACTAAAATGTAGCGGGCACCATCTACCATGCTCCCAGCTGTAAGCCAGGTACTGGGGAAACAGACAACTAAGACCTGGAGGCTCCCAGGCCAGCAGAGGGGTTGGGCAGGGTTAGCCACTGACTCCTCCATCAGCCTTCAGACTTCAGACTGCCTCCAAAAAAAGGATTTTGACATCCTCTAAGACTATCAGATCCCAATTTTTGGCCTTCAAGGCTTTGTCTAGTCTGAGCCCATTCTGGCCTCTTCTGTCAGGAGAAGGAAATTAATTTTACATTTATATAGGTGGTTATTTGAACTTTATCTCATTTACTGTATATCATTCCATTTCTTTTCTTTCTTTTTTTTTAAATTGAGACAGGGTCTCACTCTGTTGCCCAGGCTGGTGTGCAGTGGTGCAATCTCTGCTCACTGTAACCTCCACTTCCCAGGCTCAACCGATTCTCCAGCCACAGCCTCTGGAGTAGCTGGAACTATAGGCATGCACCATCACGCCTGGCTAATTTTTGTATTTTTTATAGAGATGGAGTTTCACCATGTTGCCTGGGCTGGTCTTAAACTCCTGAGCTCAATGCAATCTGCCCACCTCAGCCTCTCAAACTGCTGGGATTACAGTCCTGAGCCACTGTGCCCAGCTCCCATTCCATTTCACAGATGTAGAAAGTGAGGTGCAAAGTCGTTAAGTAATTTGCCCAGAGTGTAGCAGGGATTTAGACCTAGGCTGACTGGCTCCACAGCCCATGTCCTTCACTATCACACTGTACTACCTTCCAGGAAAAGGCAGAGGATGAGAAATGGAGTGCTGCCCTCCTCCCATGACAGGCTGGGACAGGGGAACAACTCTTTTTTTTTTTTTTTTTTTGAGATGGAGTCTCGCTCTGTCGCCAGGCTGGAGTGCGTTGGCGCGACCTCGGCTCACTGCAACCTCTGCCTCCCAGGTTCAAACAATTCTCTTGCCTGGGCCTGCCAAGTAACTGGGACTACAGGAGCATGCCACCACGCCAAGCTAATTTTTGTATTTTTTTAGTAGAGACGGGGTTTCACCATGTTGGCCAGGATGGTCTCCATCTCTTGACCTTGTGATCCGCCTGCCTCGGCCGTTCAAAATGCTGGGATTATAGGCGTGAGCCACCGCGCCTGGCCAGGAAACAACTCTTGAATGGTTGTCAGGAGATATGGGTTCAAGCCCTCATTTTGCCACAAACTTAACTGTGACTTTGGACAAGTCACTTAACCTTTTGAATTTTGATAAGATAATCTCTAAGGCCCTTTAAACAATCTATGATAAATAAGCAATTCCAATGGCCATATACGCTAGTGGCCAAATGTTAACTCTTTAACGTCAGTGAATGGGAAAGAGGCAGAAGAAGGAGATGGGCACAGTCCTAGGCCAAGCCATGACTGGAGAAAACAGGAATCACATTCAGAAGGCACCCATTTGAAATGGGCCTGCAGAGGCTGAGGAGCGTGTGAGAACTCTGCTCCAGGTCAGGTCTGCCTGGCTGTTGGTGAGCCAGTTCCAGTGGATTAATACTCAGGCCCAGTGATGGCAGAGGACAGGGCCAGAAAGACACGCTGAGAATGGGAGGTGCTCACCATGACGATGTTGGCCAGATGGGCAGAGACGAGAGCATACACCCCTCCAGAAGAGCCCACAACTGGAGCGGTCATGTCAGCCACAGATACCGCCAAGGACCCTAGTACAGAAAGACAACGAGAATTCTCAGGAATGCGGGACTCAGCTCACCCACCCCAGCCCCAGGCCTTGGATTCTGCAGGCTCCATGCTAAGACTCCAGAGCAAGAGGCTCCACCTCTTCCTCCTCTGAGTCCATGTTGCCTGGGAGATTCCCCCCCCCGCCCCCTCCCCTCCCCTCTCTCCCTCTTCCCCTCCCTCGCTCCTTTCCTTTCTTTTTCTTTCTTTTTTTTTTGGAGACAGGGTCTAACTCTGTCACTCAGGCTGGAGTGCAGTGGCACGGTAAGCTCACTTCAGTCTTGACCTCCGGGCTCAAGTGACCCTTCTGCCTCAGCTTCCCAAGTAGCTGGAACTACAGTCGTGCGCCACAATGCCCAGCTAATTTTTGTATTTTTCTTTGTAGAGACAGAGTCTCACTATGTTGCCCAGTCTGGTCTCAAATTTCTGGACTCAAGCAATCCTCTTGCCTCAGCCTCCCAAAGTTCTGGGGTTACAGGTGTGAGCCACAGAGCCCTGCCTCCAATGCATTTCTTAGAGGATTAATTTCTGGCTGAAAGAACCATTGGATTCTTTGACTCAAAAGAGGGAAGTGTCCAGCCCAAAGTAAAATTCAGACTTCTACCTGGATTATCTGCCTCTCAACCCAACCTCTGCCTGACATGGTGTTATGTCAGGGTTCTGGAACCATAACAAAAATAGCAGCAGTAGTTATTGCAGAAACAGCTGCCACCTAGGTGACATGGATACCAGGCAAACATTTTACAGACTTTCTTCCCTTCAACCCTCAAGACAGCCCTCTGAGGCAGGTGCCAGTAGCCTCATTCCCAAGATGAGGAGACTGAGCCCAGAGTCTCCTGGTAGGAAGTGCTAGAACCAGGATTTGTCTGGGTCTGCCTGATGCAAAACCCACCTGTGTTCTTGACCAAAGCCCGCACTCTTGGCCTCTCTAGCAGCCACGCCCCAAACTGGCCCAGAGGTTAACCTCCACCCTCTTCCATCTCTCCCTCTGTTCAACAGCATCTAGAAAACTGCTTACTTAGGGTTACTTCCACCCTTCCTCCAGCCCAGCTAAATCACAAAAGGCCAACAGCATCTCTCAAGTGGGGCTCCTTTGGAAGAAACATGTCCTTGAAAAGTCACAGGGAAGAGAAAGAGATGATGTCATACCCTCTGGGGGAAAGGAAGGGTATGCGAGGCTTGATCTGGGGGATGACAAACTTTTGTCCTGGGAGGGAAGCTGAGCAAAGAGAAGAGGGGAAATTTATTGTTCTGGTCTCATTTAAGTGTGATCAATGCTTTGGCTTCCAGGGAAGGACATGGGAGACTAAAAATAACTAGGAGGTAGAGCCCAGGGCTCAGAGGATGAGAGGTGGCTGGCCTGGGTGAGTGTGCAGAAATTACCACTGGAAAATGCCTGCGGGCTCAAGAGCCAATTAGCTGCTGGAGAAAGGAGGGACAGGCAGAAAGCCAAATTCTGCAGGCTCTATGGGGTGCAAGATCCACGGACTTAGGAGGAGGCTTGGTCCAGCCCAGCAACCAGAGCACCCAAGGACCTGGCAGCAGAGGACCCTGATAAACTCTTCCACCTCCCCTGCCCCCACCTCCATCAAGGCCTCCCCTACTCACTGAGGTCTTCAAGAAAGAGATTCCCTACAACCAATTCTTGGTCTCAAGGGGGATGTAATCTCTAAAAAAAAAAAAACCTGTCATGAACTGAGGACTCCCAAGTCCTCCTCCCCTCCCAGGGCAACTATAAATCTTTCATGCCTTCCCTCTGGCTTTAATTAGGTATTGATCTATTGTCAGATAACTTTCTTTTTCTTTTGCTTTTTTTACTGCTTAGCCACAGGGTCAGCCATATATAACACGAAAGAAAAATCCCAGGGTGGCAAACAAACAGGCAGCAGGATCTGCATGACAAAGGTTTCCCACGCTCTCCTGGCGGGGCTGTCTGCGAAGGCTGCATTGCGGGGCTGCAATGAGGGCTGGCTGCCCACGCTGCTCCTCATTAATTACCTTTTGGACAGAGGAAGCCCCAGCCTCCCTAGGCTGGCCTCTCTTTGCAGAGCAGGTCTGTACAAACCCGCCCAGAGTCCACTCCCTCGCCCCTGCCCCAGCGCGGTCCACCAAGGCAGAGCCGCCTCAGGGCAGCCCCAGGCAGGGAAGGGCCCCTGCCAGGGTCAAACTGGCACACCCTGACCTTTCCCTCACCCCATCCACACTCGGAGTCCTGACCCTAGGGTCAAGGGTCAGCTTCGGATTGTGGCAGGAGTATGGAAGGGGCCTGGCCAGCTAGCTGTGTGACCTTGGGCACAGTCCCTGAATTCTTTGGGCTTCAGTTTTCTTTCACATCTATAGAGTGAGGTCTAAGGCTTTCCGACTTTTGAGCAGCAAAATTCTCTTCAAAGCAAACCTTTCAGGGACGCCCTAAGCCATGGGAGCAGAACACAGGCAGCAGCTCTGGCTACGTGGGGACGCGGCCTAGGGAACAGTTTGCCAGTGCTGGAGGGGACCTCCCTGGTTCCTTCCAGATCAGAAATTCAGTGACCTGAGTTTTGGCCTAAGATCCAGGGGCCAAGGCTTGGGTTCCGGTTCTGGAACCTTGAAGGTAACGGCCTGAATCCACCTGCCCCCCAGTGGTGATATAAAGACTTCTGGGCCAGTGTGGTGGCTCACCCTTGTAATCCCAGCACTTTGGGAGGCTGAGGCAGGCAGATCACCTGAGATCACGAGTTCGAGACCAACCTGGCCAACATGGTGAAACCCCATTTCTACTAAATAAAAAAAAAATGCAAAAATTAGCTGGACATGGTGGCACACACATATAGCCTCAGCTACTCGGAATGCTGAGGCATGAGAATCGCTTGAACCTGGGAGGTAGAGGTTGTAGTGAGCCGAAATCACACCACTACACTCCAGCCTGGATGACAGAGGAAGACTTCGTCTCAAAAAAACCTCAAAAAACAAAAAAAGCGGCCGGGCGCGGTGGCTCAAGCCTGTAATCCCAGCACTTTGGGAGGCCGAGACGGGCGGATCACGAGGTCAGGCGATCGAGACCATCCTGGCTAACACGGTGAAACCCCGTCTCTACTAAAAAAATATAAAAAACTAGCCGGGCGAGGTGGCGGGCACCTGTAGTCCCAGCTGAGCCGAGATCCGGCCACTGCACTCCAGCCTGGGCGACAGAGCGAGACTCCGTCTCAAAAAAAAAAAAAAAGCAAAGACTTTCAGTGACTGCAGGTGAGGCCTGGACTAGAGCAACTGGGAGAGACCAAAGACAAACATGGGGCTGTGTACACATAAACACAGTAATAAAGGCCCTCCCTGGGCAGGAAGTGTGGGTCAGGGAGGAATCCCTTCTCAAGCTCTGAATGATCCTAACAGGTACAGGCAGATAAGACCAGTATGAATTCCACAGAGGTCATGGGGGCAGAGGACCAGGAGAGAATGAACTGCAGTGACACGCCACACCTCTGCACAGAGGCAACCCATGGGCCTTAGTTCAGGATTACAAATTCTGTATCCCGCACCCCAAAATTCCAAGTTCATGCCAGCACACAGATAAACTGGCAACTTTGCCATAGTGTACAGCTGTGATAATTTTAGCCCAGAAAAACTTAAAGCAGGTGTTCTTCAACATTCTTTGGCCTTAAGAAAAATCCCAAAATTGGCGGAACATTTATCTTTAAGTAATATAACTTTATTTACATATCTTTCCTTTTTTTTTTTTTGAGATGGAGTTTCACTCTTGTTGCCCAGGCTGGGGTGCAATGATGCGATCTTGGCTCACTGCAACCACCGCCTCCCAGGTTCAAGCAATTTTCCTTCCTCAGCCTCCTGAGAAGCTGGGATTACGGGTGCCGCCATCATGCCCGGCTAATTTTTGTATTTTTAGTAGAAACAGGGTTTCACCATGTTGGCCAGGATGGTCTCGAACTCCTGATCTCACGTGATCCGCCTGCCTTGGCCTCCCAGAGTGCTGGGATTACAGGTGTGAGCCACCAGGCCTGGCCACTTTCCTTTATTCTACAAATATTTATTGCCTAACATGTGCCAAGCCCTGTGCTAGGCTCTGGGGATGCACATGTGGTTAGTAATCTATACAATCTGTAATATAAGATTGGTGATGCATTTAAGATATTGATTTTTTTTTTTTTTTTTGGTAGAGATGGGGTCTCATCATGTTGCCCAGGCTGGTCTTGAACTCCT